CAGGAGTCAAGAACACAAGTCCATGATCTCATGCCTGGAAGATCTGTAGAAGCATCAAATGTGGGTCAGTGAGCAGGGACTCAACTTGAGTGTGAGTGCCAGCCTGACACAAAGATGAAGGTTTTCTTGTTAAAAGTAAGGCAACAATCCAAATAATCCTTCTACTTTGCTTTTGTAAATGAAGGTGTTTTCTGGCGTATAAATATGAGCCAGTGTCTGAGCAGGTAATGGAAAACTATAGCTTCATCACTTTGAGTGATGTACTGGCACTCAGAAATTAAAAACATAGTTTTAGAGCACAGTTGTGTTTCAGATCCCAACCAACTTGTAATGAGTCCTGATTATTGTAACACTAGTTACAGCATTTGTGTCAGACTGAGTTCAACAGCATCATCTGCATGTCTGCTGCTAGGTGTGTGCTGAAGTAATTTATTGAGCCAGGGCCTTTATATCTTTCTATTTTTTTAGGTCAAGCATCTCATTTTAGGTAAGTGTCTTACTATTACCTTCCACTTCTACCTTTGCATGTATGCACGACTGTGGTTTGATACTCAGTAAAATGAATACCAATAGTCGAATTGCAGTGAAATCAAGGCACTGCTCGGGCTTAATAGCAAAACAAATTTTCCTAGTTCTTCAGGGCCACCGAGCACCCTTTACAACAGGGTGAGATAAGACCCTGTGTGCAGCCTCTTTCACCTCCAAGTGGTGGGACAGGATTAATCCAGCCATTTTGCATCAAATTCAACTGGAAGGGCGTGTAGGATGTAGAGAGGCTTTGCTGCTGGAGGATGTGCTGTAGGCAGATGCCAAAGCCTGTATTGAGAGTCTGTATCAGCTACTACCACTTTGATTTGAAAATTTTCTCCTTGTCAAGGGCAGATTCTTTAAACTTATGCTCTGTACAGAGGTTGCTGTAGTCAGTGCTGTCCTGTGCAGGTGTTAATGCTGACATTAGTCTTGGAGATTTCCTTCTTTGCTCAGCAATACATGTTCTGCCATATCTTTCTGACGCAACCATTAAATTAACAGCTTCCTTTAAGTGTGCTGGAGGTTAACAGGATGTCAATACATAAAACAAATTTTCTTAATGTCAGCATGGAACCTTTGTTATGCCTATTAGTCACAGTGCCAAAACCAGAAAGGTGTTTCTGTTCACAGGGTATCCCATCCCCAAACTGGTGTAATTGGTTAACACCCTTCCACTGATTCCTGTGGCTTTGGGGTCAGCCCTTGAGCACGGAACAGTTTGACCTTCCTGGGTAATGTAGAAATCCTATTTAGAAAAGCTCTGTCTACAGCTAATTCAATGTTGTGGGGTTTTTGTTTTGTTTTGTTTTGTTTTTCTGGTGTTTATAGTTATTGAGCAGATTAATACTGGTAAATATTAAATAGAATCTTCTGGAAAGGGATAAGTACTTTAGCTTTTGCCAACAAACCACTTAAGCACATGCTTAGAGATAAGCACATTTATTAAGGTAAATGGAGTTACTCATAGATTTGGTGTTGAACATATGTTTAGGGTTTCTGGATTTGGAGAAACTCATCGCTTAAGATTGTAATCTTTTTTTTCTTACTGAACAGAAATTAGATTCTAGTATGAGAATTAATTTTCATTAAACAACGAATTAAAAACTACTCAAAGGTAAAAAAGCCAGGATGAAAAAGGAAATTATCTAATTTAAATGCCATAAAATGGAAAGAACATAATTTCAAGAAACATTCTGAAATTTGTTTCCCATCTTCCAATCTGCTTTAAAACTTAATCAGGCTCCCTGATTGCCTGGCAGGGTCGTCTCGGTGTCTCAGGGAGTGGATTGCCATGCTTGATGTCTCCAGTATCGCTGGCGAGTGCCGTGCGCAGGTCCGGCCAACCCAGGAGAGGACCGTGCTGGAGTAGGAGGTAGGAAGGGTTCTCCCCTTATTGAACTGGCTGGGATAAGGTAAAAATAAGGTTAAAACTTCTTCACACAAATCATTAGATCAATACCACCAATTAGGAAGCAATGATCTGCATGTAGTGAGCAGTTATTCTGTGCACACTACAAAAATCTCAGTTGGAGCTTAAAATATTCAAATTTAGAATTACCGACCTGCTTTAGATGTTACAAAACAGTTTGGAGAGACAACAACTCACATGAGAGCATATCTGACCTTCTGACAGGAATACTGCAGGAGTGCGAAAAGCTGATATGAAGAGAGCTCCTGTGTTAGTGTATGTGCCTTTGTCCCAAAGAGGAAGATAGATAAAATGGTGAGAAATACTCCAAATCCTGCTTTTTCCTTGAAGCACCATTGAAAATCTGCTGCTGTGCTGAAGTGTATCAGCACCAAAACAGGGGAAAGATTTTTCCAGAGAAGTCCAGCACAAACTGAGAATTCCCGCTATGCTTAGTGGGAAACTATCTAATCCTGGCCCATCTTTTGGCAAGTGTATGACTTTTTCATCGGGTGGAGTATCCCCAGCTGAGGGGGATGGGTGATGCATGCTGGCATTTCCCTGTCAAGCAAAATTGGCGTAAAGAGAGGGAAAATAAATTATTATCAGATCTTGGATGCAAATTCTTTTTTTAACATTAAAAATGGATAAGCTGTGCTCTTGAGGAAGGCAGAGGAGGGAAGGGAAGCTGGGGAAGGGCTGGCCCTGCAGTGGGTGGAGAAGCACTCCCGTTAATAGCCATCTGTATCATCAGGCTTTTAACCAACTCATTAAAAGCTTGATTTGCGCTGTGCCTGGTGAAGGAGTGCCTCCTGTTTACCTACCCATGGTGGTGGAGGAAAGGGCATGCCCTGCTCCCACATGCAAATGAGGATTTATATGGCTGGAGCTGAAACATTTGGCAAGTGAGTGCATGAAATTTAAGGTTACCTGTAGGCAGCTGTTGCTCACCCTGTGGGTGTTTTATATGGCTATTTAATTGCATGTTGCTCAGTACTAAATGAGTGTGACTTACGTGAATAACCACAGCAACGCAAGTGCTGCTGCCTGTGAAATAAAGGACCTTATTTGAGAAACAAATGCTTAACTAATAATACCATAGGCCTCACACTTTTTAAAGTGTACTTTACCACTGATAAAAAGGAAAGAAATGGTCTAGTTCTTAAAAATAAACCCAAAAGCATTTTAAGGACTTTTTTCCCCCTTTCTATTCTTTTCCCAGGTTGCAAAAAATAACATCCAATAATGAAATGAAAACAAGCTGAATAGTTACATTCAGTGGAGGAGGAAAGAGGTAGTCGCAGACAGCTGGAGCATGTCTGGGCCAGTGTCTCAGTTCTTTTCTTTCTGCTAGTTTAGTGCCACTCCAAGAATGCAGACAATGCTGGCTACGACTGTTTCATATTTGATTTCCACACTTAAATCTGTGCTTGTTAAATGAAACCCCACTGTCAGGTTGGCATGCATCCACGCAGCCTCCTCGGGCCCTGCTTCAGAGCTTGCTATCTGTTTGGGTGTCCTGCTCGTACCCCTTCAGCGAGGATCAGGTATGCGAAGGGGATTTTGCTGGTTTTGTGCTGCTTGCGGCACTGCAACAAAAGCTTTTGGGCTTTTCTTGCAACCGCATCTATGGATAACCCTCATAAATCTTGGTCTGAGGGCAGACAGAAGTGCTGCAGGGGAGGGATGGGGGTTTGGAACAGCCTCAGGAGTGGTGGATCAATTGGGCACTCAGCTGGAGCCAGTCTCTGGGCAAGGTACCGGCTGTGCCACCCACGGGAGAAAATGCTTGGGCAAGCAGGGCCTGATTCTGCAAAGGGCTGGTATCCCACCCTGCTCGAGGAGAGGATGCATCTGGGGATGCTTTTGGTCTTGGTGGGGCCCTTTGCATCCTCTGCTGGGCTGGGACCAGAGGGTTCAGCAGTTGCAGGGCTTTGCTGAAGAGGGGCAGGAGAAATGCTGTGTATTGGAAGCAAAGCAGTGACTGTAAATAACAACAGACCACCTCATATCCTTTGTAAAATACCAGAGAGGGCATGAAAGTTATGAATCTTATCAATAAAGCTTAGGAGATTACAATATCCAACAGCTGTCCAGTCCTTCAGACTGCAGACCCTCTTGGCCTTTCCCCCCTGCCCCCACATAAGCTCGTGCCGTGGTCTGATACCTGCTCATACATCACTTGTGCAGTGTGATTTATCGTTCAGTAAACGCCGGTAATGCAGAAGCAGACAGACCTCTGCCCAAAGTAGTCTGCAGTCTACTTCAGCACGAGAGGAGGGAGAGGAGTTAGGATGGGGCCATGGTACCATGGGGGGGTGATGATGGAGCAGGAGGAAGCACTGGCCGTGTTTTGATTCCTCAGATGCCCTGGAGGAGCCCACTGCTGGACTGTTGTCATGGCAACACTGTTATTTTTTTTTCAGGGATTCAAGACCTGCTCCAAAGGTTACAGGGAAGGAAAAATCCCCACGGGATCGGATGCACAGAAGGTGAGATTTTCCTCAGTGCAGCAAAATTTGCGAACGTCTGAGCCAGCAGTGAGTCCCCCAGGGCGTGCGGGCTGGAGGTGGGTCGGGGCTGGAGATCGGTGCTGTGCCTCATGCAGGAGCAGGTCGGGAGCATGGTGCTTGGGCTCTGGCTCCGCTCTGGGTCACCCAAAGGCCTTTTCCTCCTCCTGCCCTCCCCTCCCATCCTCCCCCACTGCCAGGGTGCTGCTGCCTCAGGCTCTACCTGGAGCAGAGGTGATGCATAGCAGATGGTGGTTATTTTTCACACCTTGTTTGTTGTTCAGGTAACAGACCTATGTCTGCACAGTTTTTAACAGCTCCGTGCATTAATGGCAGTCCAGCATTCCCAGTCGTAAGGAAGAGCAGAAAGACAAATCTTCAGGTTCTGCCTTGTATAATGTCAAAAGCAAATTGTATAAGTTCCATCAAATTTTGCACAGCCTTTAAATCCAGAGGCCCAGACTATGTATGCTAAAGGTGTGTCCCTTTAGTTGCAACGGCACTGGGATGTAATGGGTACGAAGGGCCAAATTACTGCTTCATAAAGTGATTTACTGGAATGATGCACGTGGCTTCAGGGGCACTTCTGATCCTGATGTGAGAGCATTTGGGATCTGCCTGTCATTGCACAGCCATGCCACCCTCCTGGCTAAAGGCATTACAGCTGGCAATCCACCTTCCCCACCGTGACCGATGCTCATGTTTAAGTGTCCAAACGGGAGGAGCCTCACAGAAGTCATCACAAAAACTAAAGGTGCACAGAATGTGGCCAGACTCGAGCACAGGTCCAATATTTGCAGGGTGAGGTGGTACCACTCATAACGCGATGGGTCTTTGCAGAGGTTTGGGAAGTCAGCGCAGGGGAAGGGGAACAGGATTGTGTAACTTGGGTGGTTGGGCCCCGTGACTCCAGCAAACGAGCAGTGTGGGCCAAGGAGAAGAGATGTGATGGGAGCGGCAAAGCGCACTGAGGCGCCCGTGATGCTCAATATGCCGAAGGCAAAACTAGACTCCCACTGAAATGGAGACAAAAGCATTGTATCACTTCTCTGACCTGATGAGAGAATTTTTTAAAAAACTAAAGACCTCAGTATTTTTGTGTTTCTTCATTTCCAACTTGGAAAAAAAAAAAAACAACAACCCTGCTTTTTATATTCAATCTCCTTTATTCTGTGTCCAAAAAGGGGTGTGATGCTAAGGAAAATTAGTAGCTTGAATGTCATGTGAACCTATTAAAGAAAAATGTGGATTTTTTTTTCACAAGGAAGACAAAGTCATTGAAACTGTATTTTATGAAAAATATTAGAAGAATAAATTAGAACAGGTATACTTACGCAGTTGTCATATAAGTACAGTGGGTGGCCTTTAAAAATTAAACTGCATACTTAAATACTCACAAAGTTCCTCATTATAAACCAGAAAATGTGATCGGAACTGGCAGAACTACGGTGCTGGTGGAATATTTAACGTGCAACCTCTGTAAGCCCTGCACAGCACATTTGACCCACGTTATTCGCAAGAAAAGCGCTTTCCCCTTTGAATGCATCACGGAGGTTAGCTCTGCTGCTCCCTTGCTGCCTCCTGTGTGTGACACCGTACAGCCCCCCGGGCTGTCACCCCGACTGATGGCACCTTGCACAGAGTTACCACCTACCCCTGCCCTCAGCAGCTCCACGCAGCAGGATTTCGACGCAGCTGAGCTCAGCTCTGGGGTAGGTGGGTGAAAAGCTTTGCTGCTTGAGCTGGCGCAGGCTGGCTGGGTGCTGGGTGCTCAGCTCTCGGCGCCTGCTCCCCCACTCTTGTCCAGCCTTCTTGTCCCAGCACATCCCTGCCCCCAGTGGGGTTTGCTGTGGAGCCAGCTCCATCCTTTGTGCCAGCTGAGAGGCTCTTCCACGCTGGGAGAAGCCTTAGAAGAGCTTTTAGGAGTAATTTAAATTTCCTTTGATCCAACAACTCTGCAGGTAAAGAACTAATGCTATTAGAGCAAGCAACAACTAGCTGCTGTGCTTGAGCCTCTTGGGGAGTGGAACGGGCTCTTCTCCTCTGCCAGGCTGGAATAACTGCTCCGTGTTTGTCCCTGGTCCAGCGCACAGAGCGGCTTTAAAAGGGGTTGGGTCGTGCACAGCAGAGGCAGGACCAGGGCCCTGCTCGTGTGTACCCAAGGCCAGTTGGGAATGTCCTGGAGAAAAAGCTAAAATTTACCTTTTGTGGACTCAGGCATAACGTCCCATCCTTTTCGTGCACAGCATGGCCACAGATGATGTTTACTGTTTGTTGCCAAAACACCAGCGAGGCCTGTTCTGTGCATCTCCTGCGTTTGCTATTCTCGTGCTCCTGAGCTACCTCGGGGCCGTTGGAAGGACATGGCCATCCCCAACGGGGAACACCATCCTGGCCACCACGCTGGCACCGACCTCCACCGCACAGCAACTTCAGTCAGGATTCTTACACTGACAAAGCGGGGGGCAGGGAAGAAATCCAGGATGCAACAAATGAGAGTGCCCAAAGGAAACCCCAGGCAGTGCAGGAAAGAAGGTTATTAAGGTTATTTTAATGTCTGCCTCATGCTGCTTTTGTCACTATGGGCAAGGAATGAGTTTGGGTTTGGTTGTTCTTCCCAAGTGCTGTCAAAGGCACAGCAGACACTTGTGTTATTCACCAGGTCCCATCAGGGCAGGGTACACTTTGTCACTGCCCTTATTTCAGAACCAGTTTTGACCGGGAAGAGTATCTGTGTTGATGATGGGGAGCTGACATACACAGGCACATTTTCATTCATTTAAATACACCAGCAATGACTCTGGCTTGCAGTGAGTAATCTTTTTTCCAGTGTAAGCATCTTGGCCCCACATGTATCTTTGCTCCTAACTTCAGGCTGCTGAATGGAAAGAAGAGCTGAAGATGTGCTAAAGGCAAGAGTCTGTGTCCGAGAACACAGAAAATAGCACGATCTGGGCTGTAATTTCTGGTGCGGTGTAGGAGACTATATCAACACAAATCCAGAACCTTGAGCAATATTGTTCTGTGGTTTGATTTCCGTTCTGGCATGCTAAATGAAGTAAGGCCCAGGTTTTTCATGGCACTTTCCATTTTTGATTTAGAGAATTTGAAAAATAGTTGTCTTGAGGCTGAGCCTGAAGTTATAATCTTGGCATATCCATACCATAAAATTCCCGTGGATAAAAGCAAAAACATCTGGATTCATGAGTGGATGTTGGCTAAATCCACCACAAAAAAAAGCCTTCAAGGGATCCTAGAGGGTTCTAGCCAGAATAAATAATACAACAAAATAAGAGTGCTATTAAGAGTAATTGTAATACTGAAGCCGAATTGTAAGATGAGGGCCAAGCCCTTTTCACAATCTGCTTTTTCAGCTAAGAGCCCTTCAATTTACACTTAACGCACATGTGGCTGATGGAACAAAGAAAAAAATTGAAGAAGGATGAAAGCAATGCGGAGATTATTCAGCCTTGCTGGTTTAGCTCCAGGCACATCGTTTAAATGAGTAGATGATCAGTTTCCAGTTTGTTTTAAATTCTCTGGCAAGAAATTTTACGCTCTATCCCAAAGTTGGATGTGCTTAAAACTGTTTTTTAAGGCTTTGCCATTTTGTTTAATTTCTTAAGGCAAGACTCTGGAAGTACTCTGCAGGAGACACCTGAGTGCTGGGCTGGAGGGGCAGCCTGGCTGTGTCACCAAGGGGACCGCGTCCCTGTTCCCAATCCATGGGGACCCTGGGACTGTGGAACAATTCCTCCTTTTGTCCCTCACTTCTGGGAGGCTGAGCCCTGCCTTGCTGAGCCAGATGCTCTACTCAAGCTCAGCATCATCCGAAGTCAAGGGTAGTGACCAAAACTGCTGTCCCACATACTTGCAGCCTTTTTGGCTGCACCCTGTTGTACCAGCGCTGCTTGCTTGGTTTAAAGCTAATGAAAGGATTAAAATTTGTATTGCTTGCCCCTTGCATCTCTTCCTGGTCTTTTCAGGGTTATGAGCTGCTGAACAGCACATCCTCTTGCCACCCAGCCCCTCCTGACACGGTCTCCTTCGTGTGCCTTGTGCCAGGTCTCCAAAGCTGCCACGAGCACCAGGTTGTACAGCACGTCTTCCCCTGCTGTGACAGGGTGAACTACACCCACAGCCAGGTGATTAAAAAGTAAGTTGTATGTTGCTGAAAAGGCACTTAGCACACCATCCCACCCCAACCAATGTAGTCAGCATTTCTCATTACCTGTACTTTGTCCATGCAGATCTGCCTTACTGACCCTCACTGACCTTGCACATCGCCCTTCCCGATTCCTGGAAAGCCTTGGGCATTTGCCTGCCCTGTAACCTTCAGCCAACGCAGCTTGGGGTAAGTTGCTTCCCTGTGGCATAAACACCGTGTCGGCCAGTCTTTGTCCTGTCCTCCTCCTTTGTTGACACCTTCCTCCCTGTTGTCCATACCACAGACAACCAGTTGAGTATGTCTTGAGGGAGCTGATCTCTTGGTACTATTCCAGTAGGTCCTTCTCCCTGGAGAGACTTTAGGTTGTCCTCCATGGAGATGCTTCCTGTGAGGTACTGTCAATGCTTAATGCTCTCTGAAGACTGCCACTGGGCTCTGAATGGTGAGATACATGTTTGTGGTGCAGCAATACTTCAAGTATCACTAGAAATACCAGTGATACCCAAACAGTGATGTTTATACTGATTTATGTTCCGTACAAGGAATAATCCTGTTTACATTGTAAGGAGTGGGAGTTTGATTGGCCTTAATGTACCCTCAGCACTTCTAGGAAATCCATAAAAAGGATGCCCCAGTATTTCTTAGGTCATTAATTTCAGCAGATCTTGTTATCTAATTTGCTGCCAACATCTGCCATTTCCCCCGCTGCGTATTGCCCAGCACCCACAGCCTGGGTCTGAACCGAGAGCTGACAGGACCTAATGCAAAAAATTCGGAGTGCTGCTTTCCATTAGCATAGCATCTCAATGGTCAAAGTGAAACAAGGAAATGTATCTTCTCATATATGGTACAAAATATTTGTTGTAGATCAGCAGTGACAGCAGCTACTGTTCCTGTTTGCAGTTGTATTCTTCTACTCAACTTGAAGGCAATAGGAAGATCTGCTGAAACTGCAGGGCTCTCAGTTAGGAAAAAATAGTTTGAGAAACTGAGGAATGACAGATAAGGCAGAGCAAAATTTAGAATCTCATAGAAGAAAATATCTGTATCTTCAGTGCTCTGTGGTTTGCTCTACACAAAGCACACCTTGGTTTTGCATGGCTGTTTGCAAATTGTACTTACTCAAAGGCTTGTGGAAAAAAAAAAAAAAGGCTTTGATGTCTTCAGTAAACAAATAGCAGTGTTAAGAGTTCTTGTGAGTGTGCTGCAAACAGCTATGTTTGAAGAAAAAATAAACATTCCAAGATTGATGGAAGGGTAGGAAAGCCATGAAGTACTGTAGTCAAATTCTTGGTGTGACAACAAAAATGACAGTGCCATGAAAAACCTTCTTCTCTCCCCTTTTGGATTAAAAAGAAAAGAACAAACTGGTTCGTGGTTTACCAGCCATGTAGTGGTAATACATGGCTATAAAACCCCCTGGCTCAATCATTACCATCCAAATCACAAGAATGCTATCACATCCACTGGAAAACCAAGGGTAGGACTCCCCTGGAGATACTCCCCTCCAACCATTGGAGTGAGTGGGAGAAGACTCAACCTTTCTTCAACTCCCCATTCTGACTTGACTTCCCCAGTGCTTCACCCACAGCCACAGGGCCACCAGCACCTCTTAACCCTCGCAGGCACAGGACCTCATCCCAAAACACCTCATCAGCCTTTACACTGTGCAACCAGTTGGTTTCAGTGAGGATTTCACTGGCCGGGTGCCTACCTGAGCTTTTATTCTGTAAAGCTTGTTGTAGTTGTCTCATTGCATCACTTACAACATCCCTTTGGAAATGCAAAAGCTTAGGAAATGAATCAGAGAAAAGAGCTAAACTATGGTCTCAATTACACCAGCATAACCCTGAGGATGTTAATTTACATTTATAGCCTTTTAACTATCCATATCAGGTTCAGAAGAGAAAGTTTGGGTTTTCTCTGTAAAGGGAAATTAAAAATCGGCAGGTCACGATCATAATCAATACACCAATATTTACTGCAAATTTAAATCTTATCAGGAACCTCCAGGGAGCCTCTTGCTTTAGTTTCATATAATTCCAAGGATTTATCTGTTCAAAGATAGTTCACAAGAGCTAGGAAATAAATAATTCAGACACAGCTGACTTTCTAAAGTCTCTGTAGCATCACTAACATCTTTCCTTTGATAACGCTTTTGTTCTGACTACCAAAGCTCCGTTCCAAATGGGACTGGCAGGGCAAATGCTCCATCTGAAGAACCAAGGCTTGTAAGAAAAAAAAAAAAAAAAAGGAAAAAAGGCAAAAATTCCAGGAAAAAAAAAAAAAATCTTATAATCCCAAAGGTAATAAGTATCCCTCTAGCAACTTCAGACAAGCTCTTCATTTTCATTGTGAGCCTCTCCCTGCTGGGTTTGTAGCTAAAGCTGAGGCAGAGGTGGTTCATAATAAACAGGAGCTCCTTAGAGACTGTAGCCATGGCATGTGAGAGCTGTTTACCTGGCATGATGAAGCACTATTCTGTTTGTCTTCAGATATTCCTACAGAAACAGAAGGTATTACGGTGTGGTAAGTAAGGCCCCTTCACCTCCAGGAATACGTTGGGTTTTTTTTTTTTCCAGACTTGTTGCCCTTCACTTTAGGCTGCAGAAAGCCCACTCTCTGATTTCCCCCTTCCCAAAAGGACAGGCTGCTTCCCAGTACAAAGAGAGCCAGAAGGTTTCTGACAGCAATTGGGGTTGTTGTTTCCAACGCTGACCTGCCCATCGCAGCCAGCATGAAGCCAGCCCCGCCGGTGCCACAGCCTCTGTGGGACACAGATGTGCCCCCCAGAGCAGGACTACCTTCTCCCCAGGAAGAGCTTTTGTTGATATAACGTGTTTGTAGCAAAGAAATTTAGAGGGAATAGGCTCTAGCTTGTAGCTTGAAAGCAAGTGAATCGCACAGCTAGTGCTGTTGGTGTCTCTGGTTGCCCCAAATGTGAAAGATAAGGGCACTGAGAGCTTCAAGAGGCGCTTTGGAGGCTGGAGGTCACTCCTAGCATCTGCTCCTGGCCATGGTGGGGGAAAGGCCTTTGATTTCCAAGGGATTAGGGCTGGGTGCCTCCCACTGCTCACCAGACTGGAGCCCTGTTTCTCCCTCCCCGCCACAGCAAATATTTTGATTGCAAGAGCCAAAGTAATTGTGTTGTGTCCTTTACCATATGCAATCCCCGAGTCATGCTGCTGATAACCATCAAACTCATCAAAGACGTGTGCCCCCCCGCTCCCCCCTGGAGTGCTGCCACCAGCCAGGGTGGCTTTGGGTACCACCACGTGCCCCAGGCGCATCCCCGTAAACCAGCTTGCACGGTGGTGGCTCCTCAGGCCACCGCGATGGCAACGTCCCCTCCACACAGCTGGGGAAAGCAGAGCGGCAAATTTAGCAAGTGGTAATTTTGCCATTAAACTTACACCCCTGAAGATCCCATAATACCCAATTCACCCCATCGGGTGGGATTCGGCGCTGAACTGAGTTAGAGCGCAGCGCGGCGGGCTGTGTGGAGCACGTTTATTCAAATAACATCAGCCCTCTTTCTCAAACATTATTCCACTTCTAGTTTAATTAAAACACAATTAGCAGGGCTTGCAATTTTCTTAAATATGCCCAATCTTGAATGAAATCAATATTAATCTCTGTTCAGTGTGCAAGACAGTAAAGTGACACATGGAAAATTACACATTCTTGACTCAGGAATGCAACTCAGGGGATGACTTCATGTTCCTGAATGAGAAGATCAGCATGCCAGATGCACCTAGTGCCTGACCCCTTTAAAGGATCTGAAAGATCACACATAACTTTAAAATGTCATTTCATGCATGCAGGAAGAAGAGAGCTTGATAGCTTTTTGTTACTTAGCTTCCCTTTTAATTTTGTTAGGACCGTGTTAATGTCTTAATAACATGAAGCAGAGCTCTGATCTCTGTTCTGGCTGCATGTTTCCAATAGACACCCTAATGCTTTTCTCATGGCTGGAGTGGTTAACAATCTGTATTTTCTTGCTATTAATTAGAAGTAGTATTTCATTTTCTAATGAAGAGTGAGCCTTGCAGTGTAGCTGACAAGTTTGCAGTCCTCACTTTCAGTCATGCATTGAATTTTACTGAATTGTTTTGTCTGGAGACAAAAGCAACAAACGTGAGTATAGAATGAATATCTTTTTTGAATTGTAATTGAATTTTTAAGTCACAGAAATCAGTTAGTAGTCAGACTCTCATGCTCTTGACCCTTTCCTCTGCTATAGACTTGAATGTCCTTTCTTTTTCCTTGCCCAACTGCTTGCTCCCAAAATCCTGCTGAAAAGTATCCAGAGTGTGATCCAGGTCTCTGCCTTTAATAAGCGTGTCCCCATAGCAAATTATATAACAGCATTTTGTACACTTGTATTTTTCCTCTCCCCCAGTGCATTCCACGCACCTACACAGTCATGCTAATTAGATCATGTAATAAACTTAAACGTGGCAAAAAATCTGCTCACAGGGTGTTGCAAGACAAAGCTGGATTTGGAAAGCAGCCATTCATGAATTTTGTTTTGTTTGAGAAAACCCAAAGGATGTTATTTTACTGAAGATGAAGCAAACCCCATGTAATAGGAGCTGTAATCGAAGGAGACAAATTACTTTATTTAAATAGTCCTCAGTGAGCCCTGATATAAGGGCTTGCTTATATAAAAAAATCTGTGAGAGTTTAAAAAAGCCATTAAAAATAATTAAACCTAAAATAAAAAACTAAACTAATGTTACATTATGTTAAACTTGGTTAGTTTGGTTAAACTTAGCTATTCAAAACTATATTAATGTTAATCTATAACATATACCCACAAAGGAGCTAAGTAACAAGGAACTTAACTTTGAGCATCGGGTGTCTTTCAAATGAAACGAAGTGTCTACATGGGATATGGTGATAGATTCAAAATGCACCCCAATCACTTTTCCTATAGATGGTTTTAAACTGTGCATAATACAGTAATCCCTGAATTTGTGGGGTGATACAGGAGAGCAAAACCACAGCCTTCTCTGACATACCACTTAGCATTGCAACCTTACACTTCCACGCTCATTTCTAGGGAAAGGAGTAACTTTGAGCACTATACCAGTTTCACAGCAATGTTTAATTGGTCCCAGGTTTTAAATACAGTTGGTAACGTGATCAGCTGCCAGGTAGGAATTGCTTTCTTAATTTCAGTTCAGATGCTAAAAGTTTTGGCCACGGTTGCACCGAATCGCATTTAAACTTTTAGATCTACTGAGTGAGCTCTTAAATATAACCACATTAATTTCCATAGTGATCGAGACAGACTGAGAGCATTACCGGATGACTGCACTTCTGCAAAGCTAACGCAGGCAGTGATACGGATCATGAAAAAATGACATGCTCTGAAACACACAGGAGAAGGAGCTGAGGTTGTGGCTGGGTAGCGGTGTGGTGGTCCAGGCAAAGCCTGCCTGCAGATTTCATCAAACAGCCATTAATGAAGTATGTCGATAACTTTCAGCTATATCCCTGATCAACACTAGATGTTGCTATGCTGCTACTCATATAAGCTATACATTAGCGAGGCTTTTAAATGGCATTTACTGCAATTTCCTGTTTCCTGTTTCTGTTATACACCATATTCTGAATACTGGGTGAGCTGCTACTTTAATTTACTTTTTTTTTGAAGTTTCGATTTTATTGGTATAATATCAAGTTTATAACCCCCTCAAATGTACACATAAAACTTTAAAAGCACCAGACACTCTTATAAGTGATAACATGAAGCAACTCCTATATGAATGTCAAATATTTACTTAAACTCTGCTTCTGGATTTTTTGCAATCCAAGGGGAATGACATTGTTAACCGGACGATTCCGGGAACAGACTGACAGCTGCAAGGCCACGGAGGGAAGTTTGTTTATAAGGGAGGAAAAAAAATAAAATAAAAAATAAATTTAAAAAAAAATGTTTAGCCCTGCTGAGTTTCAGGCTTTCTACTCCCACATGTTTGAGTGGGAGAAAGGACAAATCTTAGGACGTTGATTTCCCCATGGCAACAGAAAACGGAAATTACTTTAACCCCATCTAGTGACAGATGACTCATTGCTCAGCCTGCTGCTATTTTCCAAGTACTAAAACAATACAGCTGGAAAGAAAAGGCCAGCCTTTATTATCTCATAGGCTGAGCGCTGGGGCTCGTGGGAGAGGGCAATTCTCTGGCTGCCTTTTTATCAGACAGAGCCGGAGCCTTTTGGCGATTCTTTCATTGTATAAGGCAGATGTGCCCGCAGGGCAAACCCGAGGTGTCCCCGGGCCCGAGGTGGTGCAGCACCCACGGGTGAGCTGCTGCTGGGTGTCCTTCTGCTTGGTCCTCCTCGCTCTGCATCCTGTGGTCTCCATGCTTGCAGTTCAAACAACCCCCCTGCCTTGAATTACACGCGGGGAACTGCGCACGCAATAGAGGAACGATTCGTTCACAGATGCAGCCCGGTGAGGGGACAGCAGGTATGAGCAGGGTTTCCAGGCCCCTACATGTGAAAAAGATATCTGATGGCATAAGCGTATTGTTGGAGAAGTTGTAACAGGATCCCAAGGGAAGGGCTGAAATAGAAATATTCAGCTTTGAAAGCTTCATTATCCTAGGTGAAAGGGTGATTAGGGAGAGCGGTTTCTGAGCAAGGACAGTGGAGCCACTGTCACCTGGAGTCCTTAAACCCAGGTGAGGTGTTGCTGTGAAAGACAAGCTTCAGTCCAACTTGTAGGATGAAGAGGAAAGCTACGTGCTCGGGAGGTCATCCCCGACGGCCGTACCTCTCCCTGCACCTCACCCCCCTTTGCAGCAGAGCTGCACAGAGCTGCCTGCTCCGCCGAGGAGCATCTGTGTTGTGCACCTCCAGCATTTGGATGACGACTCTTGCTCAGCACCTTCTGGACATGGCAGAGAAGGGCTGTTTTGGAGAGGAGCTGATTCAAGCTCACGAATTCAAGGGTGGTTCCTTCATGTGCCTCTTCCCACCAGCAGCTCGGTGCAGGAGGTACTCTACAAATGCTGGTTCTCCCAAATCCTGGTAAGGATATAGTAAGGGCTAATAAGGCTTACAGAGCCCCAGATGCATTTTGCACATAAAATATTACATCATCGAATGGGGAAGGCATTAACGCTACCCTTGAGATGATACACTGAATAACTGGTCGGTCAACATCACTTTATTCACCACAAACTGGGGGCAGGCATCACAGTGTTGGGAAATTCAGGACTCCAGGAAAACTACACGGTGGGATGGTGTCATGGGATACGTAAAACATTTCCTTTCTGAACTGCTGGTACAATAGCTGAGTCTTTACTCAACCTTGTCATTTGTATGCTGGTA